GAGGGCGGGGCGGGTAGGCCGCCGCTGCGGGCGCGGCGCACGGGCGCGCGCCGCCTGCCTACCTCCCGGGCGGCGGTGGAGGCTGGCGCTGGCCGCCCAACGGGACCGCCATATGTCGCGCGGCCGCACCGCTTCTCTCCTCCTTTATTTTTGTTGCGGCTTGTCATCGGACTCGACCGGAGCCGAGTCGAGCAGAGAGGCGATCGGGACTCCGGCACTTCCGGCTTTCTCGCTGGCAGTGCCCTGTGCCCTGGCGGTGCGGGGCGACTCCTTGGAGCCGGCCCGGGGCCAGTGCCCTCCCCGAGGCCTCCGTGAGGCCCTCCCCGGGCAGGCCGTTAGTGCAGAGGGGGTGCTTGACCGGCGCTGGCCGCCAGATGGTGCGGCGTGGCGGCGAGGCGGCCGGGGGAGACGTCGAGGGGGTAAGGCACGGGCGGGCGGCACAACCGTCGCCCAGGACGAGCGTCTCGGTGACTCCTCCTCTTCCTCCTCCGTGCCGTGTCATAGTGGCCGCAAGTCCGCCGCGGTTCTTTGGTGTTTTGTCTGGAATTTTGTGCAGCCTTAATGCACCACGCAGCCAAATGGCTTGCATCGGCGGCCGATAAAAGAAGTGGTAGTCGATAAGTGTTCTGCCGAAAGAGTATCTGCTATGGCATATCACCAGTACCTTCGCAGGTATTCCCCCGGGTTGTCGGTCGCCAGTGCAGTTGCAGATGTCCACCTACCTCCGAGACGAGTCCGAGGACGACTCTTATCGAGGTTCGGCCGTATCGCCTGCATTATCAGTCTGCTATCGCATCGCCCACGGACGGCTCACATAGGTGCGCAAGACCCATATGGATCGCAAATCAAGAAGACGTAGTGAGCAGACACTCCAGTCTAGACCATCATCCTAACCCCTCAATCGTCATTTGCAACACAACCATGCCCTGTAGCATCTGCGACGAGGAGTACAACCAGCAGGAGCGTGAACCTAAAGTATTGCCGTGCGGGCACACTGTGTGCCTGCGGTGCCTTCAGCAAATGCAGCACTGGCAATGCCCAACGTGCCGCAAGGTGAGTCCGTGAGACGTGAGTCATTAAGACGCACCTGAAATTTAGTCAATTTGAGCTATAAAACCCCTGTATGTAGGCTGCTTGCTCACCTGTCGGCCAACCTTTACTACGCCCACGTATCACGATTGTATTAGTCACCCAAAACCTTTATTGTCTCTCAATACAAAACTTTTTTCAATATTCAGTCTTACTCTGGTCCGCCCGAATCCCTCCCGAAAAACTTTGAACTTCTCGAATTGATGGAACGGCTTCGAATCCAAGGAAACAACACCAGGTAAGCTACTTGAAAACTCGACATGTTCCACAATGCTGGTTACCTACCTCCCGCCTGGCACTAGCGTAGAAATATTTTTGTGTTTTGTTTTGAGTACCTTGCCCCGTAAGAAGAACAAAAAGATGGTGGCGTAGCGTAGCGCCGTCTCACAACAAAGCAACATAACCTGATACCAATATCCTCTCAACTAGGTTTTGGTGGACGTTATTTGATAAATTTCTGTTTATAGTATCCACGGTACTAGGTACATATCAATATTGTACGATGAGGCTTTCTGCTTTGTTGTGAGACCGCGGGCCGTCTTCCGTTCTTCTTCTCATCGGGCGGCAAGGTGCTCATTGGCAACATTTTATGCCGCAGGTTTTCCTACGGACGGTGCAAGGGGTGCCGAGCCCCTGCCACAACGCTGTGCTGGGACGTGCAAAAGGGGGTTTTTACTTCTGAAATACCGTGTACACCAAATGAGGTATTTCACAGGAATTTCACGTGAAATACACCGAAATACGCCTAAATATGCTCCAAAACGGTGAATTTTTCCTGAGAAATACCGACGAAATACACGTAATACGAAATACTGTGTGCACGGAAATCTCGAGTGAAAACCCTCTCGGACGTGCACGAGGTCTGGAACACCAAGGCCGCACTGGATCATTACCTGCACTTCGACGTGCTGTCGCTTGCCTCTGCCAGTCTCAAGGACCTGCAGGTCGATTACGAGCGACTCTTTTGCCTGTCTCCCTGGATCTGCCTGCCTGCCTCCCTGCCTGCCGTGCCGAGGCACCTCGGCACCTCGCTAGCCGTTTTGAAGTTAGGTGGAAGGAGGTAGATACTGTCGTTCTGGACGCAAATCGGCCCGGCGCCTCGCTAATGTGACGCCACGGTCCCGGTCCCCCGCAGCTTTCGTACGCTCGCCAGTCTCTTACGCGCGCCCTTTCGCGGGACCGAGACGTGACATGAGTGAGGCGCCGGGCCGATTTGCGTCCAGAACGACAGTATCTACCTCCTTCCACCTAACTTCAAAACGGCTAGCGAGGTGCCGAGGTGCCTCGGCACGGCAGGCAGGGAGGCAGGCAGGCAGGCAGGCAGGGAGGCAGGGAGACAGGCAGGCAGGCAGGCAGGGAGGCAGGGAGACAGGCAAAAGAGTCGCTCGTAATCGACCTGCTGCAGACAGAGTGCAAGGGGGGGGGGGGGAGGGCCATGAGGGCCATTACGTTACTGGACCGCGAGTCCTGGGAGCTCACCCTGCGGGGCGGCGACCACGTGCTAACGGGGGTCGTGGGGACGACCATGGACCCTCTGATCAAAGCTATGTGCCTCATTATGGCGGCAAGGGTCGACCTCACCCAGGAAGGCGTAACAGAGAAACCAAGATAAGAGGAAAAAGCGAAAGGGAACCAAACCACTCCTCTCACTGACTTCAATTCTACATTTCTACCCAATAGGCCTACGACGCCTGTTCTGGCCAACCACAACGCCAGGGTTCCTGATTGCCCGAGCCTTTTCTCATCCCCCGCTTTCACGCCATCTTTGGCCAACCACAACGCAAGGGTTCCTGATCGCCCGAGCTATGAGCGAGTCACTGGGTATACCATACATGAACAAGAAAAGGAAAAAAGGAGGATAGCGGAGCTGTATCGGGGTATCTTTTCTTCTTGTCACCGCGATTGAAATGGTCTATTCCCCCGGTTTTTTGGCCAACCACAACGCCAGGGTTCCTGATCGCCCGAGCTATTCCTATTCCCCCGTTTTTTTTTGTTTTTTTTTGGCTAACCACAACGCCAGGGTTCCTGATCGCCCAAACGTTTTCTCATCCCCCGCTTTCACGCCATCTGGCCAACCACAACGCCAGGGTTCCTGATTTCCCGAGCTTTTCCTCGTCCCCCGCTACCACGCTGTTTTTGGCCAACCACATTGACAGGAGGGGTATTACGAAGCTCCTGGGAAACGCTATCCCACAACCCCCCTCACCCTCTGTAGACTGATTATAGAAGGCGCTTCCGGGATCTCCGTAATACCCCTCCAGGGGGTGTGTCCGAATTCTCGAACAGTTTTCCCCAGTAGCTACGGCCGATTTGCTCTGCGGCCGTTTCGAGCAAAAGATATTTAAAAAAAAAAAAAAAAAAAAAGATGCGTCTGTTTGCACATCTTGCAAAATGTAATTTCGACAAATTTGTATGTTCGGTTCGACAAAATAAAAGTTTGTCCAACAGGAAATACAAATTACTTGCCATAGTCAGGATTCAAAATTGCATCTTGCAAGGTGTGCACACTGACCCACCTTGCAATGGACAAAAAATTTCCCTTGCAATTTGGAGTGTAGTGTGCGTAAAAAAAACAGTATGGGTACGAGAGAAATTTAATGTGGCACTGAGCATGAAGAAGGGATTTCAATTGAATACATCAGATAGTAGGGGGGTCAGGTAATTTAAGGTCTCTTCACTTATAAATAAAATATCACAATATGGGCACAACATATGTCCACAAGGAACCTTGGCTTCATAACAGTCCATCCGCCGACAGAGGTTCGGCGACAACATCGCCTGGAAAGTGTCATAAAATCGTGAGGTGGTGTGTTGTCGACGCGGTGGGTCCACCTCTGACTGGACGCAGTCTTGTGCGGCCGCGCCCGCGCAGCCGCGGTACAGCCAGCAGGCGGTGCCGAGTGGTCCCGGACGCTCTCCGGGAGCAGCTCGGCGGGTACGTGCAGGTGCTCAGGGCGCGCCGGTGTCCATCATGAGCGCCCGGCCGATGTTGTCGTGGCCGTCCAGCAGCCCGGTGAGCTGCGCCAGCTCGTGCGAGCGCTGCTCGAGCCGCTCCGAGGGCGTCCACGACATGTCGTGCTCCAGGCGGAACGAGCCCAGGTACTCCTGCGGCGGCGCGCTGCCGCCCCACTCGGAGGGCGAGAGCATGGACCAGTACTGCTCGCCCGTCGCCTTGCAGTACAGGTGGTAGATGTGGCCCGGGACGCGCTTGAAGTTGCAGTGCGCGTGGTGCCGGCCCTGGTCCTCGCGCGCCTCCTGCAGCACGCGCTGCGCCTGCTGCTGCAGGAAGCGCACCTGCTCCGCGATCACCTGCAGCTTGCCGCAGGCCGTGGAGCGCACCGTGTTGTCCGCCTGCAACAGGGAGAGGAGGCGGTGAGCCACGCGTTGAGCCACGCGCCGTAGGGATAGGCAACACATGCGACACCTCGCAGAGCGCCCAGCTCCGATCAGCGCCGTCCGGTTAGGCAACACCTTTGGCACCCTACAGAAGCAAGCTTAGACAGGGAGTGAGAATGGCAAGTTCAGTATGCATGATCATACGGAAGGGAGACAGAACAAGCAAATTCAGATAGAGATGGTCTAGTACCCAATGCAAGCTGCAATAGGTGACACCGAGTGAAACACGGATAAGGGTCTACAAACTCAAGAATCGTGCAATGTAAAGTTTGATCAAAGTCTTACCAGCTGAATTTCACGTGCAAGTTCAACCAAATCAGTGGGATCATGCCGCCCAACTCGGAATGAGTTGACCAGTTCGTAACCATTAGGTTTCTTGTTTCGCTCCACCAGCATTGAAGTATCTGTAATAGAGCAGAAACAAATAGGGTCCAGTGATGTAGTAATATGATTCATGCGAGCTTAATGTTTAGTATCCATGTTCTATATTTAA